TCTTTTTTTTCTTTTCTTGATTAATTTGTGATCTAACAGAAAAAAAAACAGAATAATAATGTTATTTAGATAAAATGAAAAGAAATTTTCAGTAAATTTATTTTGATATTAAATATCAAAATAGAAAAAAAAGTGATTTTTAATCAAGATCAATTGACGATTTAATGTAAGATGAAAATGAGATTAATAATAACAATGGTAAATCATTTGTTTGAAAGATCGACTGAAAAACATATGGTATGTTTTGTTGTCTTATTTTTCAATTAAAGAGATATTTCACGTGTTAACTTTTATTCTTCTAGAAATATTAGGTATCTATTACTATCGAAATTTTTGAAGAAGGCGCATGGAAAGGCATTGCGAACTGAATTTTTTAGGGTTCAATAGACGACAGGCAGGGAGTATAGATTTATTCATGAAAAAAACTTTCCTCAAATTATTTTCTCAAGTAAGTTTTACTAGAAAAATTCAAGGTATTTGCTGTATAACATATGAAAGATACCGGTGAGAATTAGTAAAATAACTAAAACAAAATCATTTTTTAAACTGACCATTTATCATACTTTGGAAAATCTCTCTTCACGCACAGGTATGCACCCTCGACTATCCTCTACTCTATGGTTAAAATCGCAGATCTCTATAACTTTTCGTTTTGAAGTGATAAGCTTTTCTTTAAAAATTCCGATAGTACGTCTCAGTAAGAATATTTTCTAAGATAAATTAAATATTATAGAGGGAAATTAGACAGAATACAAGGATCATAACATATTCTATGCCATAGTCTTGTCAGAATTTTGACTATTTTCTCTGCTTAATCTGAGACATCTATTGAATGATAAAAAAGGTAATATTGTTGGTTATATCTACAACGACACTTACGAATCAAAGGATATAAAAAGTATACAAAATGATAATAGATTTTAGAGAAAAACTTTATGTACGATCATATGTTTTGTTCTAATAGTACTTCTTGACGATAATATATTATCGAACATCGATGTATAGTATGAGATGGGTTTATGTTCATCGGATATTTTACTTTATACTTGTTACAGATACAACTAAATATGTTGAGTTTAATAACAAGCAAAGATATGATTAGAAACTTGAGATACACTTCTTTGCAAAAATGTGTTGATAAGAAAATAATAGAAATTCTTTACACCTTTTACTTGAATATATATTCTAAACATTAGTAAGAAAACATTTTCCACTCTATAAAAAAGACTGCAGATTATGTTTCAGTTTATTTATTAACTATTTTTTTAGATTATATCAATATGTCTTCATATATTCGTTTATTTTCAATGTATTTTATGGCTGTTTTATATATTGTTGCTGGTGTTCTTCATTTTATAAAACCACAATTTTATCTTCCTATAATGCCACGATATTTACCATATCATCTTGAACTTATCTATTTATCAGGTTTATGTGAAGTTATTTGTGGTTTATTGTTGTTTTCTAAACGAACACAAGTATTAGGTGCTTGGCTTACTATTGCTTTACTTATTGCTGTTTGTAAGTTTATAGAATAATTTATCTTTCAAAATTTTCTTTTTTCTTTTTGTTTTTAAGATCCAGCTAATATTCAAATGACACAAGATTATTTTGAAAAGAATCATCCACAAAAATATATGGTAGCAGGTCGTCTTCCATTACAATTTATTTTAATATGGTGGGCATATCAATATACAACAACGACAGGACATATTAAATCACATTAAAAATAAAAGATTTATTTATGATTTATTTTAAAGTTTTTTTATGATTCGTTTTTTTATTTTGTTTTTCAGTTTTAGATAAAATAAATGTTTGTGTATTTTATATTTATTAATTTTTGTTTATTCTCAATCAATTTTGCTGATGATCCTAATCGATTACCAACTAAATGTGAAGGTATTTCAAATATATTTCATTAATAAATACTCAGACTCCTTTTAATATCAGAATTAAATAGGAATAAGTTTTCTGTTTAGTATGTAAATTACTTACTCAAGAATTAACTGAAAACTTTCAACAACATAATAGTCCAAGTGTTATTGAGACGAGCTATTCATTTGATGATAAACAACCGAAAAAAACAAAATATAGTGATTCGTATGTATTCTATTCGAAAATTTCATTTTAATATTTTATATTTCAAGGGAAACACGTTTGATTGAAACACTTGAAAATGTTTGTGAACGATTTCTTCGTTATAATGTTCATGCTGAACGTCCTGGATCATTACGTTATGCTCGTGGTCGATCACAAACAATGGATACTCTATGGAATTTACGGTAAATATTATACATTTTTAATTGTCTTATTTAATATTTATTCGTTTGAAAATATTTTTTAGAAATAAAGGAGTAAAAGTTGTTCTGGATGTTCCGGACACAATGTGGGATGCACCATCAGCTGAAATAACTCAATTAAAAAAATATGTTTGTCATAAACTATTTGCAAATTCTTTTTATCAATTATTCTTTTTATCTTTAGTGTGAAGAAATGCTTGAAGAACAAGAAGAAAGTATTGAACAATGGTATTTTGATAAGAAAGTACGAAATGAAATTTCTTTGGAAAAATATATTTGTGAAGATCGTGTATTAAAAAATCGAGATTCATCATGTCTTCGAGAAGTCTATGAACCATCAAATGATGAGGATATTAAAGCTCAATCAAAAGGTGATATGGGAAAAGCTGATCTGTAAATAATAAATCATTTTTGTTTATCTGATAGTCATATATGTATGTTTTTTTTCGTGTTACATATTTCATTGAATGATTTTGATAAATAAATGAGTACAACTCAATATCTTCAGATGAGTAAAATTTTCGATCTTTAAATATACCGTTATCAAGGTCAAGAATATTTTGAAAATGGTAATAAGTAGCAATCTGTACTTTTCATCAGTCGAAAGAGGCTGAATCAGTGGGAAGTAAGAAAGTGCTAGATATCTTAAACTATAGATCTAAATCAAAGATGAAAAATAGAACTTCATCTGGATGGTTTGTCATGTTCATACAGTATCGGAGAAAACAACGTTTCAACTTAATCTCATTCAGTTGATGTAAATCGCAGATCACAAACTATTACCATTCTTATTTAATTTTCATTGATTAAATGAAATATAAAATTTAGTTTTATTGATATTCGATTAAAATAATAAATGATTAAAAATAAAAATAGTTGTATATTTAATATTGTTATTTAACCAGTATGTGGTTCTGATACAACATTGCCATTTTCATCATAAAAAATACGTACACGATTTGGTCTTAAATCACGTGTTGTTGGCGAATTTTCTTTGACTTTGATAATATTTAAACCTTATAAAAGAAAATTTTTTAATATTTAAAAATAAAAATGAATGTTTCATACGTGAATCATGGCTTTTTATTCTTGCAATAGCTTCGTCAACTGGTATACCAACTAATTCAGGCCATGATTGTTTTTCAGACATAATGGTAGAATCAAACAGATGATATTAAACGAAAGAATCTACTCCATTCATTAGATCATATATATATATATAAAGAGAGGGAGAGAGGGTATTACAATAAAATGTTACCTTTTATGCATGAGTGATATCAGAACTATCGAACAAAAAATAACCTTCATAAGTATATGACATAAACCAACTATGTTCAATGAATCGAAAGAAAAAATGATAAACGATATTGAGAAAATTTTTATATCATATGTTATTCAGTAAAAACTATTCAAAGATATACATATATGATTTTTAGGATAATATTCATAAATGCTATTTATGCCCAGAAGATTCTTAAAATAAAACATTTGAATTTATTCGTACTCTTTGATTCATACAAAGATTCATAACAAGAAAAATAATGTTATATAAATAATTGAAAATCGCTTAGTTTTCAAGTATATTGAGTAGAGTATTCTAAATGAAGTATTAATATTTTTATTTTTACAATGAATGTATGATTTTTCATAACTTGTTTTCTGATTGATATTCACAGGAATCTAATTACTTTTTGTTGTAAGAATATTTAATGACGTCTGACTTTTTATTCATTGTGCGTCATACTAGTAAACTAATCTTGTAAAGAGCATACTTTTTTTTGTTTCTATTATTTCAAAACCTCCTACTCATATATGGCACATAACAGTATAATATTCTTAAAATGAAAAACAATACTTCTTATAGTTCATTATTAAGATAATATCAATCAGATAAATATAAGTATCACTTCTCATTTATTTACTAAATCATCGTCATTTTGTTTTTCTAGAAAAGAGTAAAAAAAAATACTCTTTTTAAATTATAGTTCCCTGATTTACAGAAAAACAAGAAAACTTTTCTGACGTATAAAAGGTCATTGAAAAAGTGTATTCACACTTAGAAAAGAACAAAGGACAAAATAAATATTTTTTCTTAACTTCAGCAAAAAAAAAGGAAATGAACTTTTTTTTTTCTCTTCGACTGATGACAAAGGGAAAAGAATGAGAAAATAAAACGTTAGTATCTACTAAAACAACAACTGTTTTGTTTTACTTAGCAACTTAATATAAAGTATATTGAATTACATCTTTCCTGCGACAGCAAATATTTGTTCTCTGAATATTTGAAAAATATTGTTTGATTAAATTCATCTTGTTTTTTAGATTATTTTTCTATTTTTTTTTCCATCATGATACGTAAAAGTGATCATAAATTTTATGACAACCATCTCTATCAATTACTTACTAAACAATCAATCTATACAAATAATATATTACAAGAATTAAATTCAATACTTCATGCAGAACCAGATTTAGCTGCATTATGTCATCCAATAGAAGGCTCATATTTTCATGTTATTTGTCGGAATTCTGATGAACAAGAAAAGTAAGATGAAATAGTTTTTCTAAGATAATTATTTTATGTATTATATATATTGTAGTATTTCTTATCGAATGATTTATGCGTTGAGTAACGCTGGTGCAGATCCAAATGTTGTCGATGAAAAAGGTAATACACCATTACATGAAGCTTTAATTCGTGGATTTCATGATACTGGATTTGATCTTATTCAGGTATAATTATATGAATGAGATAATCTATTATTTATTTAATATATTGTTTCAGGCTTTATTTCGAATTGGTGTTGATCAACGTATTGCAAATAAGGAAGGGAAAACACCCTCTGCTTATCTTGAAGAGAATCCACAATTAGTCGCTTTATATGATGGGTATGAAGATGGAATTTGGACAGCAGTTGAAACATGTAATATTGAAGAAACGGAACGATTAGTTAAAGGTATAAAATTAAATATTTCAAAGTTTCAGATAAAGAACACCTGCTAGTTCATATTTGTTTTCGAAATGATTCAGGAGAGATCTAGGATTAAAGAATTTTCGCAAAGTGACAAGACTCTATAACGAAAATTTGATATTGTTGTTATTCTTAGAGTATACACATGATAATTTTATAATTTATATATAGGTTTTATCAAAATTGATTGTAAACACAATAGTAATAAAACACTTTTGGATAAAGCTCGTGATACCAAATGTACCCAAATAATTCGTATTCTTGCTGATTATCAAGTAACTATTGAATTTATTCATTCAATACTTGCATGTGATTGGGATCGAGCAACTCTTATTCATCAATACGAAGGTCAATTTATAAAAATAAATCAATCCGATTCTCTTCATACATTTACATGGGCACGAACAATAAATCGTACATGTTCAAAACCTTTACTTGAATTTTGTCTTGATACAAAATCTTCAGAACCATTTGAACTTATATTTAATTCCTCAATATTAAAATCTAAAATTGATGTTAATATAATATGTACAAATGGTTTACCGTTTTATTTTCATATGTTTGAAAAATATATCACTGATGATAATCAAAAATATATTTTATCAAAAGCAAATTTAAATATAAAATCATTGAAAGGTGATACATTTCTATTTCATCTTATTCATTTATATGAACAGAATGAAAATAAAGAATATTTAAATACATTTACAAATATACTTTATAATCAACCATTATTACTTACAGAACGTAATGAACAAGGACGAACAATTGTTGATGAAATTGAATTAACATCAACAATATTATATAATAAATTACGTATATTTTATGATGCAATTCAAAATGTACTTGAAGAACAAATGAAAGACAATCTTGTTCTTGAACGTTTTGTATTGAACGGTTTTGGTTATCATTTATTATTATTTTTTAATGACGAAAATATGGAATTAACAAAATTTTTAATTGATTTATTACGTTCATTAAAAATTCGACAAGGTTTAATCGTTCTTATGTATGATTTAGTAGAAGCTATTGCAGATGATAATTTAGAACAGATAAAAAATATTTTCAAAACGAAATCAAATATTTATTTTGCTAAAGATTGGTCAGGAAGAACATGTGCACATTTAGCTGTACTTTATCGTCGACGACAAATTTTAAGGTAAAATAAAACAGTGTTTTACCCTCGACAGAGGGAGGCAAACGTCCCTCTCCCCAGTGGCGTAAATAGGGGGGGGGGGGAGCGCGGCACCCCTTCTGCTTCCGAAAACTAATAGGAAAAAAGGGGTTTATGTCCCCCCCCCTGCTTCTAGAAAGTTCACTTTTTTTGACCATTGAAATAGAAAAACTAGGGTTACGCCCCTCTGCTCTGACACCTGACTTACGTCCCCTGCCTCTTCCCTCTCTACTTAACATACTGAAATAAAAAACATTTTCTTAAATCTTTCTAGTTTTATATGTGAACATTATCATAATGTTATTGATACAAAAGATAATCTTAATCGTACGCCATTACATTATGCATGTATAATGAATGATGAAACAGCAATTCAAATTCTTCAACAAGCCAAGGCAAAAATAGTAATTATTACCATTTTTTTTTGTGAAAATTTCTATTCGAATTTTTTTTTCATTAGAAACTTGATTGTTTAAATTTATTTCCAAATAATTATAAAACAAATTCAGATTTATGTTGTGAAGAATTTCATGCACAAGGTTTTCCGAAAAATCAAATTGAAAATCACCTGTCTGGTATAAGTGATTATTTAAAATTATCATTTTATTTTCCAATAAAAAAATCTATTGAAGAAAATTCTATAAATGATCTTATATTAATAAATAAGAATATGAATACAATGGGATTTTATCTTGAAGATTTTAATCCAAATTCATATATTAATGATTGGGTTAAAGGTCAACGATATACGCCATTATTATTTCTTGCACTTGAACATCAATCAATACCATCAATTCAATATTTTATTGATTTAGGTTTACCATTAAATGGTCGAATGTATATATCAAAGTCTATAAATAATAATAATTCTCGATGTGTTTCATTTCGTACACGAGCTGAAGAACTTGAATGTTTTGATATTATTGGTATGATTAATGATTTAGAAGATGATAATGAATTAAAAAGTATTTTTAAACGACATTTATCGTCAACAGAAACAGCTCATAGTCAATCGCCACCAGTTATAGCAAGACAACAATCGAAAAGATTAAAAACACCACGACAAGAACCTATTCAACAACCAAAAAATAATCAAAATACTAAATCACAAGCTTGTACTTTGTTGTAGATATGCGTTGAAACTCGTTCTTTTTTCAACAATAAATATATTTTCTGTCATTAAAAGTATAATGCTATAGCCAAAGAAGATAATTCACTTTCATGTATGAATAATAATATTTTAGAAGTTGTAGAAAGTTCTGGAATTTCTAAAATTAAATATTTTTTTCATTGTTGAAGAATCTGGACCTAGAAAAAAATGCAATAGTAGACTTCCGTTTCGAGGAAAAAGTAAAAATATATTCATGTCATTCAATTATAAAAAAAAATGTACTGCATAACTTTAATTCTGATAGTTGAAAGGAAGTAGAACTAAAAACGTTTGATTGAAATATATACTTACTCGTGATTTTTGTCAAGCTAACATTTTCAGTAATTAAAATTATTACAAGTCATGACTTTTTCTCATATATATAAAGGTTTATTAGTATTTTTATCAATAATAAACTTCTCCAAGTTATAATATATGAATTTTATTTTTGTCAGTTTTACTTATAAGTATTTTATATTTATCCTACAAATAATTCAGTTTGTATTATTTCGACGTTTTTTTTATTGTAGATTGTTACAAAACCTTTTGATATTTAACACAAAGATGAAAAACATTTTATTAGTGTGAGCTTTTCCATTGAACTATACATAAAAAAATTAACTCAGGTGTACGATAGCGGTAAGAGAAAATACATCAAATTTGCAAAAAGAATATATTATGAAAACTTGGATTTGGAAAAAAAAAGAATAATATCAATATTTCTGGATTAGCTGCAAATTTATATTATTGATTAGTTTATTTTATATATTATTGTCAATATCTTCATTAATCCAAGATGGAGGTTGAAAATTTTCAATCATTGACCAGATAAGAGCTAAAATAAAAATAAATATTCAGCTATTTTAGATCTTAATTCTTCGGTCACTCAATATATTTCACCAAAAAAGCAAGAACAATCATGATTTTTAACTAATATCAAAACTACAACAATGATCTTGTCAAAAAAATTACTTACATTTCCATTGTGCCGTACTCTGGTTAGCGTCTTGATGCTCATCAACCACAGGTTCCATAGATGGTTCTTCTATCGGCTCACGGATATCTGACAGAAATGGATGAGCTAAATAATAAATATGACGTATAAAATAGAGAACTCAATCAGTGCTAATATTCTCATAATTTACCTAATGCCTCTTCAGCAGTTGGACGTGAACGAGGATCAAAAGTTAAGAGATGATCAAGTAGATCAATACCTATAAAGAAATAGAATAGGTAAGATTAATCTATTTGTTGTAAATTTACCATGTGATGAAACGCCAGATACTGGAGCTGCTTCTCCTGGCTGATATTTGAAACCAAACAGCTGATTAAAATCGACTTTTACTCGAGGTTGCAATCGACTAATATAACTTATTGAGTCTAAAAAGTTTTCGGTATAATTATAATTATATTGTTTGATATAAAGAAGTTCTATGAAATATAAAATCTATTAATAGATTGACCAAGCAATCTTTACAACATCCCTTGATTTTTTCCAATACAGTCAGACAAACTTACATTATTTCGAATGCCATTTAAAGTTAATCTTGATTTAAAGTCGCAAGTAGCTTTCAGAAAATAGTATTTTCTAAAAATAAATTCTGGATCTATCGCTTGTTCAACACTATATAAAATGATGATGGTTAAAAAAGTATCTCTTTCTTATATAAATGAGTACTTAAATTTTTCAAGTTATGAAAATTTGTATTTGTAATATGTTCGTTTCTTTTTTGTTCTTATACAAACCTGTAGTATATGTTTCATTTAATGTAGTCAAGTCGGGTGTACCAATAATATCAAATATTTTATTTAATTGATCAGTAAAATCTGTTCCACGGAATATTGGTCTAAGTAGGATTAATTCTGCCATTATACAACCAACTGACCATATATCAAGTTTATCATTATAACGTTCCAAATGAATAAATACTTCTGGTGCACGCCACCATCTATCAAACAAAATGTTTTTCAACCTTAGAAATTAAAAATTCTTTAAGATACCTCGCACAAGCATATTCATTTTGAATACCGTCTGATAAAAGATGAGCTACGCCAAAATCAAGAATCTGTAAAAAACAAATTGCAAAAGTAGTAATTAGAAATGTCATGCAGGACATACGGAGTAATGACTATCCATCGTCAGTACTCTGATTTCTTTTACTATATAAGTACACACTTCGGTTTTTCTCATTCGAAAAGATGACTAACTCATAGAAAAGGAAATAGAGTATGATCAAATCAACGAAAACATCAAACAAGATTGGAAAAAATGAATATGCTAAAATACGATATATTAATATTTCTAATGATTAATAGGATCATAACTATTTATAAAACTTACAGAAACATTGGAATTTTCATCGATTCCAATATTTGATGGCTTTAAATCCTATTTTAATCAAATAGAAAAAGAATCATATTTTATATGGCAAAATTTATATATATATATTTAACTTACACCATGAATGACACCAGCTGAGTGTATAAACTGAACAAAAAAGAAAAGAAAAACTATGAAAGTAACATTACATTGAACTGATATTCATTAAGATTAGATTCATACCTTAAGACCACGAAAAAGTGAATAAATTATATGTTTGATATGCGCTTCAGTAAATTGTGTACTATGTCGAATAACTTTATTCAAGTCATAAGGACAGTAATTAAATACAAAGTATCTGAAAAATAATATACTCATCTTTATCAAACAAAATTATTCTACAAAAAAACACATACAATGTTTGGAACTGATTTACATCCTGCTCGGGTGTAAATACATTATATATTTGCACAATCTGAAGTAGAAATAAATAGCGATATTATTTATAGAATATAGTAGGGCTAAATTTCTACGAACTTGTGCATCAATATGGTTGAGATGCGTGAGAAGTTTAAGTTCACGATAAGTTCGTTTTGCATGTACTGGATTTTGAAATGGCCTAAACATTTTCTTAATAGCTACTTGTTTACCTATTTCCTAAATAACAATATATTTATAGATTATTTTTCTTGATTATTACAATTTGACATACTGTATCAGTAGCTCGACTAAAAATGTAATTTAACTATTAGAAGAATAAAATATAATAAATATTTGAACTTACATGACAGAAGCAAAAGCCCCTTGTGAAATGCGAACTGGATTTTGATATCGTATAGGTAATGTATATGTATGAGCATCACAAGTAACTGTGTGCCATTGTGTTTGATCTGTATTAGCACCGGTAGTCATAGCTGATTTTGCTAAGATAAAAACATCAAGAGATAGACATATGTATTTATATGGTGTTGATCGTATAAAAACAATATAATGACGTTATCCGTCGACTGCGTCGAATAGAAAAAAAAGGAAGAAGAAACATGTGTCTATTTCAGGTAATACGATAGGAGGAAAAATCCAAACAAATAGCTCAAATTTATCTTGAATAGGTAATTTATTGTGTAATGATGAAGTTTAATGAGATATTTCAGCGAAAATAATTGAATGACACTTGACTATTTTGATTTAAAAAAACAAGAAGCCAAATACATACAAGTTTTTGCTGGTTCAGTCAAGTTTATTGTTTGATCAATCGATGACGGTGATTTTTCTTGATAAAGAGTATGGGAGCGGGTGTGGATGTGCTTGTACGAGGAGAAGAGACCACCGCTCACCCACACCACGCTCAACAATTCAAATGTCTCTATTGTAAGTAAAAACCATGTTTTTTTCTGATATTTGTAATTATTCATTAATATTTTTATCAATAGTAAATTTCTTCAAGTTATAGTATATGAATTGTATTTATGTTAGTTTTATTTATAAATATCGTTTTTTCATTCTAACTGAATGAAGAATACACTTTAATTCATCTGAATATTCTGAGGTCAAATAGTTTTCAAATTATAGTACAAATTAAATAATAAATAATGATCTTTCAATAGAACAAGGTAGTAATCGACTTTCATATTCCAATGAATGTTTTGCTATTAATTTTATAGTGATTAACTATGAAAGAAGTCTTATGACTATCATAAATATAAAATATTTATATTAAACAACAAAAATAATCAATAGTTCATTGATTTTCGTATGAAATACCATTAATCACACATACACATGTGATAGATATTAGATTCAAATGTATATATTCTTCTAATCAAATCTTTTTTTTTTATTACAAATGATTCTATACATACATTAGTTAATAACATTCACGAAAAAAAATATCTGACTAGTAATAAAACAAAAACAAAACAAAGAACTGTTCTGAATAAAATCAAATAATAGTAGGAGGCTTATTATATGGAATTTCATGATATAGATGATAGGGTTGTTGATCATGATAATACGTAGATGGTAAATGACAATAACAAAATATTGGTGTTGATTGTCGATAATTCAGACTATTTATTGAATTTTCTTCTATTGAATTATTACAAATAGCAGTTTGTGTTGTATCAGATCCATTTGTTTGATAATAAGATTCAATTGTTGTTATTTTAGATGAATGTGGATATTTTACACGTTGTTTTATCAAAAATAAAACTATGATAAAAAGAATTAATATGATAAGACAAATACCAAATGATATTGCAATAACTATATATTCAATATTAATCGTAACTGATGATGATGATGTTACTGATGTTAATGAAATTATATGTTGAGTTTTTGTTGTTAAATTTCGACATAAATAATGTTCATATGTTTGTAAACATAATGTATAATTTGTTGAGGGTTTTAATTTTTCTAAAAGAAAATAATTTTGCGTATTATTTAAATTAAGTATTGGTAAATGTTCATTATTTTCATTAACAATTAATTTTAATGGTGTTGATAAAGATACAAATGACCATTCAAGTACAGCAGTTTCAGAATCTTTTAACCATACATGAAATGATGATATTCTAGAAAAAATAATATATAGATCTTTATATCTCGAAAAAAGAAAATTTCTATACAATCAAGTGCAAAAATCTTTGAACTTAGTGATTTAAAAACATTAATTATGTCAGATGATTTTTGCTTCTCGACACTTGTAGAAACTACTTCAGTATTTAAGATTATTTTTATCTTACAAATATTGACTTATGTATGTAAATCAAAGATTTTTGCACCTTACTGTATATATTTTTTTGTCTATTTACTGTTTTTCATTGCAAATTAATTGATGATCTAATAAAGAACCTAATTGTTTTCCAAAAAGATTTTTTGGTTTTGTACATATCCATTGAACATATGGTACAAGTTCAGATTGAAAATGTGTTAATAACCAATAATATAAAGATTTTATATGACAATCACATTGTAGTGGATTTGAACTAAGATCAAGTGTAATAAGTTGAGATAATTGTTGAAATGTTTGATTATTAAATGGTACATTTGTTAACTGATTATTACCTAATTCTAATTCACGTAATGATGATGGGAATTTGGATGGAATTTGTGTTATTTGATTACGTTGTAAATCAATAACAATTAATTTTAACATTGAAGAAAAAAGATTTTCTGGAAGAATTTTTGTTAATAAATTTGATTGAAGTTTTAAACGTTCAAGATTTTTCAGACGTGTAAAAGCAATTAAAGATTGTGATGTTAATGTACATGATTGAAAACTTATATTAACTAGAGAATTTTCTATACCAGAAAATGTATCAATTGATAATGGAAGTAATGGATTACGATCCATATTCAAACTTTCAAGTGAATAAGTATAATTAAATAAACCTAAAAAAAAATGATAATTAAATTTCTTTTAGAACAAAAAAAGATTTATATTTTAATTCAATAATATTATTGATATAGATTCTGCTATTAAAATAAGTCAGACAGTCGTGTTTAATCCTTCGAATCTGAAATAATCTCTTCAATAAGATTAGCTTATTTTACAAATAGAAACTTCTTGCTTTTATATAATGTACTTAATAGAAGTTTTATTGCATATTGTAATTGTAAAGCTTATAGAGATGTCACATGAAATATCTTGCTATAGTATCAATATCTTCATTTGAATCCAATCAGTCATAAATACTTAATGAGTATTTATTCTCCAATATCCAGTGGTGGATTCAAGAGAGCGATGGGAGTGGTCGCTCCTTTCAGAATTTTTTTTTGATTTTTTCAAGCAAAAATGAACTCAAAAATAGACTTTAGCCGAAATCGCCGCTGCCAATGTCTTTGAGGAATTTCGTATTACTTTTCTCTTAGATCATCGCCATTGAAATCATTTCTTTTATTAAGATGATCTGTTAATTAATTTGATTTTGTGATATACATTACTGATTTCTCTTATCGGCAATAAACACTAACAAGGCTATTCCTATTCTTTAATTGAGATGTTCTGGCGATAAATGATAATAAAATATTTACCTTTTGGTATAGTTTGAATATTATTTCTTGCTAAATTTAGTTGTTTAAGTTTATGTAAATATTGAAATATATTTGAATTATTTAATAAAAATTCATTGCTTTGTAATGATAAAATTTCTAATGAATTTTGTTTCGGTATAAAATTTTTATTGATTGTATGTATAGAATTGAAATCTAATATTAATTCTTTTAATTGTTTTGGTATAGAACCATGAATATGTTCTGATGTTAATAAATTATTTTGTAAATTTAATATTTGTAAATTATTCATATTGATTAATAATAATTTTTTTAAATAATTATATGATAAATCTAAATATTTTAAATTTTTATTTAATAATTCAATATCAAATTCTTGGATAAAATTATGTGATAAAGATAATTTTTCAAGTAAAATTAAACGATTAATTTCATTAAAAATATTTTTCTTTAATTTATTATTATCAAGATATAAATATCGTAATTGATTTTCAATTATTTGAAATGCATTTGTTTCAATAGTTTGGATATTACATGATTTTAAATATAATTTTTCTAATTTTTTCATTTGATTAAATACATTTGATGGTAATATACGTAAATTTAATCCAATTAATGTTAAACTTTTAATATTTACTAGATTTGTTTGAATTGCTTGTGGTATTCTATCAACAATAGTTGAATCAAATTCTAGAATAATTTCTTCAAGATAATTTTCTAATTCACGAAATGCATCTTTATCGATTGATTTTAAATGATTGCCAGACATAATAAGACGTTTTATACGTAAACCAGAAAATGCATTTGCATGAATATGTGTTATTAAATTATCGGATAAAATAAGTTCATCAAATGCTAAATTAAATAAACGATTTGATGAAAAATATGGAATTTCTGTTAATGATTTTCGTGCACAATGAACATAATTTATACCATCATCACGAATACCTGATTGACATATATCAAGAAGATTTAAACATGATGAATGAACAATAAAAGTAATGAATAGAAATTTGAAATACATTATCTAGAAAACAAAAAAAGAAATATTCTTATCGATAGATTTTTACGTTATTATTCTATGTATAAGTGTTTAAATAGACTGATGCTGATTGCATCATATTTTATATACACAAATACATAATAAATAAAGCACAGAAAGCAAATAAGAATCGATAATTATTCTTTCGGGATTTGATTTTTATACTTACTTATTAGACAACGATCGATACTTATTTTTTCATATTACAAATAAATCAAGAATCTCTGCAAATATTAATTTCAATAAAGTCTACATGTTAGTGTTAATGTGAATTGTTTCACAGGAAATATAAGATAGAAGAGAAGGTGAAGATGTCATTCTTTGAAAATAGATTAAAGATAAATAGAAAAAATTTTAACGATGATAAAGTAGTTTATCAATCAAAAAATCATCAACACCTTTCTATGATCCATGTACTAAAGAGAAAAAAAAAGTCATCTCTTTATCATCTTACGGTACAACGCGTTGTACGTTAGGAAACATTCTCGTATGTCTTCTTTTACCTGACTACCTACTGATGATCTCCGGTATCCGCTTTTATATTAATAAATTAAACGGAAGACTGTTTCTTACCTTAGTCCCTCTCATTAACTTACTTACTTACATACATATATGAGAGAGTGAAGGTTAAACTTGCCTTAGCACCACATGAGGTAAAATGAAACAAATAGTTACAAAATGGCAAATAAACGAACGATAGAGAAAGGAAAGAGAGAGACAGAGAAGAGAAACACTAATCCATTATTTATTGTGTACAGGAAAAAGAGAGTGTCATTTTTCATTGCCTTACAATTAACCTTTTCAATCGACTTTGCTCATCAAAAACAACCGACAGTAGTATTTGTATATGTATAAGTAGCGATACTAATTGAAAAACGTATCATCTAGAACGAGAGCAAACGACGAACTCATGTGTAACAAGAGAAAAAAAAAGAAAGAATCAAGACACAATGAATGAATTACAGAGACAGGCGCTAAATGGATTTTCAATCATTGTCAGAGAAAATAATAATGATGACGACGCCTATTCAATTATTGAAAGACAAAAAACTGTATTTATATTTAACACGTCATTATGTTATGATATTTCCCATGAAGAAGAGAAAAATTGTTCATGTAACTCATTTGTGCTAATCTAATGTTTATTGAAGAATATTCTCTTGTGATATGGTGACTCTATGATTTTCTTTTTTCTAATATTGTTCAGACAATGACAATTGTATTTTTCAATTGTTCTTCTATTGTCGTTTGAAGAAAAAACAAAAAAAAAAAGAAACGTCGCATACACAACAATTAGAAAGAGTTATTATTATTGCAAAAATAAATGTATACACACATATATATATATATGTATATACTCAACAGAAGTCTTATTTATGATTCGACAAATAATGATGATAATGATTGAACTTTAAGTGGTGAAACTATATGAAAGTTCAATTGAATAAAACTAGAGATGATGAAGTCATAGAAAATTGATAAAGGTGTTGAAATTCTTGTCAAGATTGAAAACAATTGTAGAAAAGTGTTAGAGATGATATTAAAAGATAATGATAAAGGTGTTATTTCACGTTTATACATCACATTCTTTCCTTTCTTGATATTCGTTAATCTTCATTTACGAGAAGAGAAAAAAAAAAAGATTTTCTATTTGTTGACTAATGGAAACTATAGAATTTATAGATTTAAACATACCTTGTTTTTTTAAACGATACCATTCAAGACAAAAAAAATGCTTCCTCTCAAGTACGTTACCTACTTGTTGTATAGATTCAAAAGTGTATGTGTACTACCTGATCATTATTCTTTAACATCCATTAACGTACTTTTTATTCTCATTAACTTCGATAGAGATATAAGAAGAAAAAGGACAAAGATTCACTCAAATATATATATATATATATGAATGTGTATGGCGAAATGAATTCACATTCTTAATCATGTGTTATTAGTAATGACACGCGCACATTTATATTCAGTTTGTTATTTCAATCTTCTATGGTCCACAATGCACATACAAATACTAACACATCTGTAAATGCTCATCATCTTTCGCTCAGATGGTAAGAGAATAGATTCACAATTAATCTCTTATTTTATCTCAAGGTTACTCGATATATTTTTATCTCTTAACAGATATATTGCCTGCGTGTTTTCTTTGATTGACAGATCTATTTCATCTTTGTCTTTAATTCTAAGAAAGAAATTTTCCTATATAATAGAATTGTCTAAACAATACATATTTGACATTTCATTAGATATTGATGTAATAATTTTGACTACACGATAATATGAATGACTATAATAGAAAAATTACATGTAGAAGACAATTAATACTAGGTCAGGATATGAAATGTTATTTTATTCAATTAGAATACATGCTTAACTCCGCTTTACTAAGTTTTACTTTTACACATCTGCTTCTTGTTGCTAGTCTTATGCAATAATGACGAAAGAAGAACCTCTTCTCTATGAAACAGATGGTTGAACGACAGCAGTCGTTAGTAAGAATAAAAAAGAAGAGAGCGTCAGACATCAAACACATCAACTAGTGGGTGGTATTAGTTGCAATTGAAAGGCATACGCGCTCCTCTCACCAAAAGTATTTTCTTCTTTTCTCTGTTTTTTGTTCATTTTTTCGATGATTATGATGACGGCGGCACCTACTTAAGTACCTTTCAATACTAAAGTATATTTGAATGATCGAAGACAATAGCTTATTTTTGACTTCTACATGTGTTTTGTTGATTGCACTAGAATAGTAATAAAAACAATATTGTTTCCCTTAAGCGATTATCAACAACAATATCGAAATTTAGATCAATATAATTTCAATCAAATATTGAGTAAAATACAAAAGAAAGGTCATAGTTTTAAATATATATATATATCTAATTGAGATGTATGTACGTCATTCAGTTTATATGTATACAATATATATATATGAAGTTCAATTTGAATAATATATCATAGATGTGCGAGGATTGATTTCGTTCATATATATTCAACACTAACAAAAGGTCAATTTCGACAGATCATAAGCTTTATCGATCCATCAGGTTAGTATACTGTAATGTATCAAAGATAAAGAGTAACGAAAGCAGACAGATAAAATAGTTAAGAAATGTTACGGAAATATTAATACTTCAAACAATGATGAGAGAATGAATTAAAGTTAATTTCATTAGTTCTACTTTCTATTTTTCCCAGACAGTAACGTTAGTTATTACATATGAAGACGATAATCGTATATGTTATCAAAGAAATGATTTTTCTTTTGAGCTGATTGATTTCGAAAATTAATCTCATTTTGTAAGAAGAAAAAAATATGTTGTCATTTTTGTCTATCAAACGAAAATCATCTGAGACTTATTTTCATGATAGCCGCCTTATAATTAAAATATCTTAAATAAAATGAACAAAATTTATATAAATGTTGTTCTTTGTTAATAAAATCTAACTAACTAACATGAATTATGTATTGATACATTATGATTAATCGTTAAACAAACTAGCAAAGCGGTATTTTCTTATAATCTCTTCTTGATTTTTAGAGAAAATGAATAAAAGATACAATCTAGGGTAACGCCCCTTTGGCACATTTGAAGGCGATTTTTACTTTGATGTTATTTGAAATTAGAAACATTTGTCATTCTATATGTATGTAAAGAATATAACACATTACTATGCACCATATGAGCATGCAAAATGACATGATTGGTAAAAAAATTCAAGGAAAAGCATAACATGAGATAGTTAGATCAAAATTTCTTGACTATGAGAAATAGTGAATGAGAATATAATATTTATTTGAATATGTAATAAATCATCTGAATATATAAGACAATCAGTTTATCAATATATCAGTAGATTATTTGTATTATAAATATCAAATGAAATATGAAAATATTCGTATAAGGCTTTCAAACGATTATTTTTATGAATAAAAATAGTAAATCTTGAATTATAAATAGTACTATTCTTGATAAAATATTTAATATTAACATAAATCTAGGAAAAATTGTTCCTTTTGTCATTAATGAACTTAATATTTAATTCAAAAACTTGTGTTGCTATTGTACAGTTTTTAATCTATAGAAATTTGTAGATGCAATTGATTTTATTATTGTATATAAATAACGAAACTATTAAAGTTTATTATTAATTATACGAAGATTAATAATTAAAAGCTAGATTCTTCTGTACGTTATTTTGTCAAGAAAAATATCTGATACGATCTTTTCATCAATAATAAAGGGTACGCTTTCACTTCATATCTATTTGATTTTCACAAAAAAACAATGTTTTACTTTTTTTTTAAATTTGGAAAAAAGATTAATATATAATGAAGAAGTGTCAATATTTATACACAATATATAAGTAACCAATTCGACTGTTCACCATCATATATTGTTTTTTCTCACTTCATCATGATTCGTTTTAATAGTTACTGCTATATAATCTTTATATTATTTTTTATATTAAAGATGCAGGCAATGTAGAAATCGAGTGAAGCTTATTTTTGTTTTTTCATATATCAATCGATAGAGCGTGAGCTGCTGATGACAATGAACTACTTCTCCGGCTTTTTTGAAGCTGTTTCCTAGTCAAAAACCACAAAATACTTGGACAATCACTATGTCTCTTTCTTGAAACTTTTAGAAAATATTATTTTCAGATTCAGCATCAAAAATTAATTCTAGAAAAGCTCTGAAATCGGTTTTAACTCAAGAATTCTTTTTAAGGTGCCACTTCTAATACTTTTCACTACAGTACTGATAGATTGATTTAGCAAACCTATCTAGTTTTTTTTGGGAAGTGAGAGAGTCAATCTTTTTTTCTTTGAATCCTCATAATAACTCCTATAAAAATACACATCGTTTTTATTTTGTTCTGTTTTCTCCGGGGAGAAGAATTCGTTTTACTTATGGTATACGAACATCGGCGAGGTCACTTTGATGTAACACATGTATTTTTCATTCAAATCAAATAAAAATTTGATTACAATAATAAAATTCAATGGCAAATCGGATGAGCATGCTCTGAAAATGTATGCTCGTTAAATGATCTAAAAAGGGTTTTTAGAAAATTCTTTTTCTAAATCTGATCTATAAGCATATACGATAATTTTGTTTATATTTCCTTTACATAATTCCTCTTACGATTTTCACTTTTCGTTAAGTGTGGGTGTTTATGCAATAGAAACAGCCACACACGCTCGTCTCGTCGAATGTGTTAATAATGTAAAAATCCAACTCTCCTTTGAAAATATTTTATTTCATCATTATACAGTTCTTTTTTTCTATAGTAATTATGATCAAGAAGTAAAAAATCCATGACGATGAAAAACATCAGTCATACAGAAAAATTTCTTTCTTTTTTGTTCTGTCAGGTATTATAAAGTAAATAAAATATGTTTTTTTCTCATGAGAGATTTTTCTCGTCTGTGATGGTGCCATGTTTTTTTTTACAATAGTTATGACTAAATGGAAAAAAAACAATTGTCTTTCATCATAATAGTTATTAATTTCAAAAAAAAACTTACAAAACGGCTGGGAAAATGCCGCTTAAGCCATAGACTGATACCATATAAAAGGTAGTGATCGCAGAACATCCATTTGTGAGATCATATTTGGTTTATTTGTAATAAAACGAACTGAGAATAAGCAAAATATCAAATGGCTGAACGAAAACTTTTCGATATTGTCAAACGTGTACCTATTGCTGGTTTTGGATATGGTGCGATTCGTGGTGCTACTTTTGCATTAGCAGGTGACAAAGATGAAGCGAAATATTCATGGGAAATGGACGTTGCAGATTTAAATCCACTACGTATGCCTCGAAACATGATCAATGGTTTCATTGGTTCGCTACACGATTTAGATAATGGTATTTGGATTGGTAGACGAAGTCTTAGTGATCAACCATTTAGTTTGACGTTTGTGCCCGGTTCTGATGTATATCATTGGTGTATTCAGATTGATGGAATTATCTATGAATTAGGTGGGTCAAAACAGCGGATCGAAATTAGTATCATATCGGAACACAATAATCCAACAAAATACAAAAGCCACTGTAAACGATTTTCATGGACAAAGTTAGAGCCAGGAAGATCATCATCTGTCAGCGATGAAACATTACGAGATTATGCAAAAGCATTTGAAAAATATACCTATCTAGCCGTATTACCAAGTGGCAATAAAATTAATTGTCAAACTTTCGTCTCGGATATGTTTGCCAAAGCTGCTGGTATGACACAAATCAAAGCGCGAGGTGCCATCCTAGCTCTCATACCAAATATATTATTTTGATAATTGTCAAAGACAAATTCTTATATCTTAATCTTATCGTAAACTATTTTATACATGTTTTTATCTACTTTTTCTTTATACAATAAAATAAAAACAAATTAAAGCATGAACAAAAAGAATAACGAACTGGTATATGAAGAAGCGCTCAGTTTTAGGATGAGTGGGTGTGGGTGGCTATTCCTATTGCACGCCCACATCCATTTTTGGCTAGAAAACACCTTCAAAAAAAGCCAGAAAAATAGTTCATCGTCATCAGCAGGTCACGCTTTATCGATTCACGTATGAAAAAATCAAAAATAAATTTCACTCGATTTTTACATTGCCTGCACGTTACTTAATCATTTTGATTGATCGACTTTATGCATGTTTATTAGTCTTGTGCGTACTTTTTCTTTATTTTCATTTGATATTCAATATATGATCCTTGTTTTGAATACATATTTTTCTAAATATCAAGATTCATTATAGAAGGACTAAGACGTTTTTTTTCTTCAAACTTCAATGAATTTTTTAAAAAAACACTATAAGCAGTAGATATATATATTGTAAATTATCAGTATGAAACATATTAGAACAAAAGGAGTTATGTATGATAGTTAGAAGTTCATTTCTATAACAATGTCTTTCTTAGTAATCTTCTTTATTAAAATATTCGCTATTATACTGTTTATCGATTAAATTAGGCATAATTTTGATTGATTGAGCATAATTATATTTGTGTGGAATCATCCATTGTTCTCCGTATTGATCAATTAAAAATTGTTTTGAAACAACATAAAATAATTTTCCAAACATTTGAAATTTTTCTAAATTAATCTCTAAAAATCCTCGTCGACATTTCTTAAAAGGCATTTTTGCACAAGGTCCATTATATGATGCTGTCCACCAAACATAGGGTTTATCTGTTTCTATTTGAAAATTAATTCGATAAAAAATAAATATACCAAAATGAAGTTTTGATTTTGGACATGATAATGTCCATCCTTTTCCATTATTCATTTGACCATATCTTCTAAGATATTTAAAATCAAATTTCCTTAAAGTTAAAATTAATTTCCTTTCTGTAATATTATTTCTAATTAAATCATCATAAAAAATACCAATATCAATATCATCGGAAATGAAATTATTTGAACGATGATACATTAATGCACTACCAAATGCAAGAAACCATGGTAAGGATAAGTTCTTAAAAGCGTTTTCTGCATGAATTAAACAACGTGTAAAATTATCGTCTGAGAAATGTTGATATGTTCTATTTAAATTTTTATCATGGGGTAAAACGAATGGTTGTAAATATAATAATAGATAAATAGATATTAATATGAATAAAAAAGACGATATTTTTGAATAGGAAAAGCGTTTTAATCGACACATAAACATTGTTTTGTATAAATCTTATCTAGCAAATATATTTATATTGATTAATTTTAATAATATGATAACCACTAGTAAATAAAATTTGATGTTTAATATGAAATATTATTAGATAAAAACAAAATTATTAAATAAGAAAATATATCGTTGTTGTATATTTAAATGAGCAAATATGTGTAATAAGAAATGATTTTATTATTATTGTTAATATTGATATTGCTACAATCTTAATGCTATAAATTCTGCGAGTGAAATATACTGATATATCTTCAAGTTTAGTTCTCCTTATCGATGTATAATTCAAATGACAATTAAAAAACATGTCAAGGTTTCCAGTTGCTTTTAAATCATGCACTCGGTATATATCAATATTGACCTATACTTATATTGTATTTCTATAAATAAATGAGAACAAAACCAACTACTTTTATAGATTAGGAACTGAATAATTTTAAGGCGGTTAAATTTGTTACTTTTGTTTTGAATTCAGTTTGAAGAAGCTTCATTTTCATTAGCTCATTTTTCTTGAATTAATGATATGTACAACCAGTTTATTCTATTCAAAATGAATGCATTGATAACATTACGTTTATTATTAGTCATTGAGAAATATATGAAAAAAAAAATCGTATAAATTTATTTTCTGTTTAGGTAAAGTATATATGTGCAACTAGAGAAAGGTAACTAAATCTACTTTACATTTACTAATAGAATTAAATATTTACTTTAATGAGAGTTAGAACAATAAGAATTAAAACTGTTGCATTTCTAATTGTGCTGAATAAATTACCGATGAGATGGTTTACCTTCGTGAAGAACAGAAGAAAAAGATGAGGATTTTGTAAAAAAAATGAACGTATATATATTAGCAGATAGATGAAAGGACTTTATTATGTTAATAGCCAGGGTTACATTTTGCTATAAACTCTGAATTGATCTATCTCAATAAAAATCAAATAAATGAAAGGAAGATTTATTTTTTGTTCAAGATGAACATGTAATTAAGTTCCATACTCGTTTGCTCTGTATATTTTTTTATATAATCATTTGTCAACTAATATATTGTCTATAGAATTTATAAAATAAAAGATCACATTAAATCAATATTTTCAATGGATATTATCTCAACAAATTGAAACATTTACCTTTGTTTTATCAATAGATCATATTTACTACTCCTGTTGGTTAAAGCAATTAAAAAGATAAGAGCTGTATGACATAGAGTGTTGTCAGATCATCCAAATTTCTGATGTTTTGAAAATCTACGATGTTTCACTTTTATTATTGATTTATAAGAATTATTTCTTCATTTGATAACGAATAAATCCTGTCCTAAGGTAAGTCTGCTGGAACTGACCTTATATATTGCAGAAAAATTGTATTTTTTTCTCTCAAAATAATTAAGATACTATAATTTGTGTTAAAACCTATACTTGTTTCATTTATTTACAAGCTATTGTCAAATTATACCAAATAATGTTCAGTGAATTAGAGATAGAAATCTTATTGATATTCGAAGTTAGAAAAAATAACACATTAAATAATGAGACATGACTCTAAAATTACTTTTTTCCGGATTTTCAAGTCGTGCATCCGGCAACAACACTACTGACATGCTCAACAAAACTATTGTTCACTTAAGTATTACCTTAATTTAATAAAATTTTTCAACCTATAATTTGTAGATTGACATGTAGACTCATTAGAAAATCTTCTGTGAAACTCGTGCAATGTTTTTATTGACATCATCTATTATGCTAACTATATATACAAAACTTATATTGATATTGTCAATTAACATTACAGAATCACTTTTTATTATATGTATGTATATATATATTGAATTAAAGGTAAACGGAAAAAAAACGAAATAAAGAAATGAAATAGCACCGAAAAAAAAAGTTCAAATAAATTGTTGTTTTTTATTTAATTATTACTAGAAGTATTTGTATGTGATAATCGATTATATTTTAATGGTTCCGATGTTTTTCTTATTGATGTCGTTTCAGAATTTAAATCACTCATTCTATATTGATGATTCTCCGATGATGTTCTTTTATTCTTAAGATCATTTGCTAATACAGTTGATGAAGTTTTTCTTATTACTGATTGTTGTTGTATAATACGATATGATGAACTTTTACGTCGCGGATTTGATGGTAAATCTTGATTTAAATATATTTTTGAACATGTTAAAAATTGTTTAAAAGCTTTACGAAATGGTTCAGATAAAAATGCATATAAAATAGGATTAATACATGCTGATATATAAACAAGACTTTGAGAAACAATTGCAAATAATATTATAACATGATTATGATGTGTATATAATAAATATATTTGCATAGGTGTCCAACATATAACAAATGATGATATAACAGCTGAAACCATTTTTGTTACACGTTTTTTACCTTTTGCTACTTGTTTACCTGCTGAATTTTGACGTAAAACTTGTATAATAAGACCATAAAGAATCGCAATAATTATTAATGGAACAATTAAACCAAATATAGCAAAGCAATATGCTGTTACATGTCTTGTTGTATTAAAAAATGAATTATCATCAGAAAATAAACATACCCAAACATCATTTATAGAATTAGCAAGTAAAACATCGTAATAGATCCTAAAAATAAAAAACAAAACGTGACATGTCTAATAGATTCTATTAAGTAAAGATGGAAAGAAATAGAGAAAAAAAATGACTTACATATTAGGTGAAGAAAAAATAATTCCAACTAACCAAACGACAATAACTGCTAAATGTGCATTACGTTCAGTTCGATATTTCGATGATTTAACAGCAAAAACGACACCAAGAAATCGATCAACAGACATTAATACCAGAATATATATACTAACATAGGCACTTAAATACATTAATGTATTAGCTAATTTACATAAAAGTCGAGGAAAATAATATGAATGAACAACATAAACGTATATTGTATGTGGGATACACATAAGTACAAATGATAAATTTGCAATAGCTAAATGTAAAATAAGTGCATTTGTTGTATTACGCATTTGTTTAACTGTAACAACTGTTAATATAACTAAAATATTACCAATTGTACCAATAACAAAAACAAGAGAATAAAGTGGAATGATAAGATAAAGAAGATAATCCGATGCTTCATCATTTGATGATGATGATGATAATAATGTTTTATCAGAATTTAAAGAAGCATTTATTGAAACATTTGTATGATGAAATACTGTATCGTTAGTTGTAAATGTTGACATTATACTAATATTAGTTAGAAATAAATCAATTGAATAATAATGCCAATTAAAATTTTGTGAAGAATGAGATTGTTCTGATAAGGATTGTTGATGTAAATTTTCAGATAATGAACCATGAGGATTGGGTAAGGAATAATCGATCTCGCCGAACATGTTCAAAAATACAGCGAGGATATAATTCTTTAGAAACAAAAACAAAAACATTTTAATTTATTTGTTTTTTAATATTCGAATTCGATCTATTTCTGTCAGATTTATTACTTACTCAATCAATTATATTTGTATAGACGAATGACTTGGGAAGTCTAATATTTACTGTTTCTATATGATCACGCACATTTTTATAGCTATTTTTTCTACAAATAATTAACTACATATAGGATGAACTTTAACATTTATATAATGTAAACCAATTTTATTTTTTTTTTGTTAATAAATAAATTTTATGATTTAATCAGAAACGGATGTTTATCTTTTCACACAGACATCATTATCATTCATATTCTATTCTTTTTTTTTCTTCATTTACAAAATATAACTAGAAATTGTCTTTGTTGCTTGTTATTGATGCGCCGTCATTCACAAGTTTAGTCAAGTAGCACTCTACTGATTGTTAACTACATCTATATATGGTACGACACGTATATGAACAAGTCTGTTTTCTTTAAATATTACAATTATTCTCAATAGAGAATATATATATATATATAGAACTATGTTACTCGTTTGTCGTTTCTTTCGTTGAAAGATGCAAACGAATGAATCGAATGGATGTCAAAGAAATGACTTGCCTTTAAAAATCAATCAACCGCAATAGATAGAAACTGACTAAATCAAGACATGCATGCATATTCATAGATGATTCAACGAATAGAACCTATATTGCGTATATATTTTGTCATCAAAAGAACGTGCCAAAAATACAATTTTCATTTGATTATCAAATATTATTCATACAATTAGAATTTCTGATCTTTTGACATAATAATAATAATAAAAATATTCAATATATTAGTTTGTTTTGATTTGAAAGAAAAATAATAAAAAATTTAACAAATCGGAATAGCATTTCTTTTCTACTATTACTATTACTTTGTTGTTGATGTCAAACGGAAATTCTATTTTATTCAAGTGTGCTCTGAATTTAATAAAAAGGATGGATGATAATAGAACAAAACATAAAATAAAGAATATATATATATACACATTAGAACTATGATCACACATATCGATTAGTTCGTAATGGTTAGAAATCTATACATGATATTGTTCTTAAAAATATTTTTCCCACTCATATAAATAGACAAAACATGATAACACAATTATCACTAATATTTCAATAGTAATGAAAAATTTATTTCTTAAAAATAAGAAAAAGTGTTATTTCTACTTATATATATATATATATGAGATAGAGAGTGAAATTTTATGTGTAATCTATCTAACTAATTGATATAACTATTTTTAGTCGTTCTATAAACAAAAAATGGTTAAAATGAAGTGATGATTGGTTATTAGACAATGGCAAGATGGTTAAATTATCTATTAGAATAATGCGTATTTAATGGATGCTTTTGCTAGCTATGAAATATTCTAGCGAATGTTAATCATTAAGAAAAGAAATATCCATATAACAAATCATCAAATCAGTTTTGTTTTTGACAAAAGGCATATCCGTCATTGTAATGACATGATATATTACTTTGGTCGTTAAAAATGTCGTCTTTCATTTATGTCTATATGAGAACAATTATCTAACAAACTTGTCATTTTTGTCAACAAAAAACTAAATCATACATTTGATATTATGTTCGCGTATATTCTCGTCTTATGTGCTTTACTAAT